AAGGGAGACAATGATATATTACACTTATCATCTCCCTATAAACCTAATTTAGTTCCAGCCACGTGCACACTTAATATTTCGTGTAGTCAGGCTACAGTCCCCAGAACAAAATGGCTTCCTTCATTCGATTAAGCCTTACCACCCCACTTCAGTTGTCTCACACATTTTGGTTCTTCTTTAGACCCATCTTCATCTTAACTTTAAAATATCCACGTAGGACAAATTCTTGGCCATTGGATGTAATTCAAATGCTTTTGATTCCTTTCCTAAAACAGTGTGAGTTGTTTTTACCCTCACTTGAGACCCACCAACTTCCCCATTTTTATTTTTCTGTTCTTCCTTTTCTTTGCCCCCTCTTACCCTGCCACATGTCAGTTTCCATGCCACGTCACTGTCATCTTCAACCTCTCACCCTTGCAACCAGAGCATCAATTCAGTTTCCAAGCTACCCAAACCTTCCTCCATATCCCCTCTACAGATAGATCCAAGCATCAAGGGGTTCTATCAAAGTTGGCACCAATGATTTTGATTCTAGCTGTGTGCAGGTCTAGTGTGTACAATGCTTCAAGAACCCCACCACACACAATTGCAATCTTCTCAAAGACATGCTCCAACGGTCCAACCATAGACTGAACGGAAGCACAAAAAGCTTCGGGACCAAGCATTCTTCTTTAATTCCTTCTCGTTACAAGATGGGGACCAATTTTCCACTCTAACAGCTCCTTCCACTGTTTTTACTATCATGAAATCCACCTAAAACTCCCCCAGGTCAAGCACTGCCTTAATTGTTTTCAAAGAGCATTAGGATTGTCGTCTCTTCAATTTGAGTCTTCCGCATGACCAAGCCAACACTCTTTTCCAGTCCATTACCTTTTTCTTAGCAATGATCACCATTTTTCTATTACAATCCTCCTTATTTCTCCCCAAGCAAGGCTTTGGAAACGTAGCAGAGCCATTAATCGATACCTCTGATCCTTCCTTTTCAGTTCCAGTTTGGCCCTTCACCTCCATTCCCCTTGTTTTCTCCTCTCGTCACCCAATAGCTCCTTTCAAACTCCTCACCACAAACTCTTGCAATAGCTCTGCTATCAAAGTCCACCCCTGTTTTCCTTTCCCTTCTGGAAAACAAATTATTTGCCTTCCACTGCTGCCAAAAACTTCAGTTAACATCAAGAAGCATACAATTTTGTTCAATCTCTTCCCAACCAAGTGACTCTTCCGTTCCCTTCTGAACTCACTTTTTCCACCCTCAAGTCATTGTAGTGTGAACCGCACCATCCACAAACCTTTGAACCATCAAATTCTTGTCTTCCCTTACTCTCAGTGTTGCTACCCTTCTAGATTCCCTAGGACGAATCTCTTATTCTCTACCACAACTTCCTCCCACCATCTCATCACAAGTATGAAGCCTTCCTCCATCGCCCCCTATATTCAATACCCTCCCATGCCCAACATCTCATGTAGGAATGAAGCCCCCACTTCTTCATTCTCCATATTTATGCCACTTTCCCTCGCAGGTATGAATCCCCCACTTTCTTCTTTGCCACCCCTTTCTTCAACAAGTCCAAGCAAAGATTGCTTCTTGTGTTGTTCCGAGAGGATCCACCACCACATTTGTGCTAATGAATTTGGATCTATTGATTTCACCACATTAAAGTCACCCCCAATACAGCATGGCACACTCCATGTACCACTTATTTCAATTCTTCCCACACATCCTCCCTTTCCCCTCTCATCAAATGCATACACATTTGAAAGCACCCACAACTGATCCCCTTTTACATTCTTGAAGAAAATGCATATTGGTAATCTACCTTTCAGTTCACCAATTTTACAAAATAAATTTGGATTCCCAAACATTAGAATTCCCCAGCCTAGCATACTGAAGTCTGAAGGTACTTCCACAGATCCACCCATTCTTCAACATTATTTCACCAGACCTCATTACTTATTCCACTCTCCACTTCTTCCGGTTTGTTTCTTGAAACTTCAATATTGCAATCTTATCTTTTCTGACCATGTTGCCCACTTGCATTCTTCCCAAAGACCTCAAAAACTCCATGTTATTAATTTCATTTCTTCTTCCACTTCTGGATTCTTCTTTCTTCTGTAACCCTCTCACCCCTCTTTTAGCTTCTCTCATAGACCATTCCCCAATCTCACTTTATTCTCTCTGATCACTAGCACCTCACCACCTCTTCCTTCCTAGACATCCCTTCCTCCCCTATCTGTCACATGCCTCTGATCCCCATCTTCATTGACCTTTTTTTCTATTATCTTTATCTCCATTTTATGGTCCTTTGTCCTCCACTCTTCTTCTAATTCCATGAATTCCCTTATACTCCTCATTTCTGTTATCTTAATCAATGTGGTTCAGTCCATCTTTTCCTTCACCTCAAGCATTTCATCCAACACTACCTCTCTTTCTTCCATACTAGAGCAGTCTGGACCTTCACCCCCCACCTCTAACACGTCTTACATCTTCCCCTTCTCCTACTTCATGCAACTCATCTCTTAGAGGTCCAGTATCGTACAATCTTCTTGTATACACAAATCATTCAGTATCACCTTCATTTCCTTCTAAAATTTGAGCCTCAGATTCAACAGCTTGCTGATAGATATCATCCACAGCCCTCTGTCGGACATCTTACCACAACAGAATCCTCACCCTTGTTCCTCCTTAACCACTTTATCGTTCCCTTCATCTCCATCCTTGCTACACCCAAACACTTCAACCACCTATCATACACCCTCTTCCTTCTCTCTCACTCATCCTTTCTGCTAACCTTGTTCAACAATGTCTTAGGTGTGGGACTCGATGGAGTTCAAACCAAAGTCATCCTCCAACATCTTACCTTTCTTAAACTCTTTGCCACCCCCTCTCTTCTCCCCTGCTGCCAATGACTCTGGTACATCGTTGAGCTTCAGTCCACACACTTCTTTTCCTTTGGTTGTAGCAGCCTCCTTTGTATTCCCAGGCTCTACTACCTGCCACTAGCTGACTTTGTACTCTATATTTCTTTTCTTTGCTTTCTCGTTGAAACTCACTTCTATCTTTAGGTCTGGTCTTCCATTCTACCTACATTCATTTTTCTCATATCTTGCAATAATCCCTATCCAGTCCTCTGCCTCTTTCACCATCTCCAAGCATCACCCTTCGCCTGTTGACTTACCTCCCTTTTCTTCTCACTACCAACATTCATTTTTCTCAGATCTTGCAATAATCCCTATCCAAACCTCTGCCCATTTCACCTTCTCTGAGCATCACCCTTCATCTGTTGGCTTACCTCCCTTTTCTTCTCACTTCCCTCTTCCTTTTTGATCCTAGACTTTCTTTGGCCATTTTTTTCCTTTTTAACTTTTTATTCATTGCATCTTGCCTACACTTATATTATAACTCTCATTTATGCATCAAATATGTGGCCTATCCATCTCAGCTCTCCCTATGTGTCAATCACTTGTCTTCTTGTTATGATCGAACCACTGACTCTCCTTTGTATCATTAAACCTCCATGGGTTCATCTTCCCATCAAAAATCCCCTCTACCTCTTGCCCCATGTCTCCTTATCAAAATTCCTTTTCTGCCCCTTCCTTGACCCCAAGGTTCAAAGTATTGATACACACAAATAGGCATATCAAGTGTTTCAATACCTAATAAATCTTTTTTACAGTTTTTCTTTTTCAAAACTGCTCCAGGGAATCAGTTTTAGGCCTGCCTACCCCCTGAAACTGGTCAAAATCTGAAGCAACCCTTATTTGGGGTTTCAGAGGCCTGCCGATACGGGGTGTATCGTATTGAAATTTTGAACCTTGCTTGACCCAAAGTTTCACCTTCCACATTCAAATGACTGTTCATCTTCTTAAAATCTGCAGCGTCTTGCTCACTACCCTCTATTCTATGCCCAGATCTCTTCCCCCAATCTTGTTCACCAACTGGGAACATGTCTCATCCTCCCTCTTTACCACTTTACCAGCAAGCATCAATTCGCACAGCAACAAAATGTCTTCAATCTCTTTTACTTCTAAAAATAATCTAGGCACCATCAAGTTGTCCCAGGTTATATGCCCATCAACTGTCAGAAACTTGCCGGCTGCCGCATGCATCTCCTATTACACATTTGTATGCAACAAGCATGTAAAGGAATGCCCGCTAGGTTTGTCCATAGTCCATAACAACTTATTTACTGTTGTATACTTCATCAACCCCACCAACAGATACCAACATCCAATACACAGTTCTGATTGTCTAACTTGGGTTTTTCAAATGCCAAAACCTTCTCAGATTCTTCCCTATTTTAAAATGCATTCCTACATTCACCTTTCTAATTCCCAATGATCTTGCCAGCTCCTATTTTGCTTCTGCCCAAAGTTCAACATTTTTTGTCTCTGGGTCAATACTAGCAAATCTTCCAACCAAATTGGCTCTCAAAAGTTCCAACTTCCAATCTACAGTTCAGTTCACCCACATCCTTCACCACTATTTTCCTCATCATGAAACATTAGGGCTGGCTTACAATAAGATAATGTTCTCAGTGTGTCACAAAAAGCAAACAATTAAGAGGCTAAGGATCCAGAACTTGCTCATACCATGAAGTGACACTATATGTAAAAGACATGAGCAACAACCTAGAGCTCAGTGGACATAGTTCCCACTGACCAGGGATCAAGTTCCACTGTCACCCTCCCCACTGGCCCACCCCTCCCTCCAAGTTTACCTCAGAAAAAAAAAAAAAAGTCTATTCGACCTAGTAGTGACAATCACCCAAAAAAATAAAGAAAGAAAGAAAACAGCCTAGTCACTAAAGATAGATTTAGTTCCTTTGAGAAGTTTTGGGTGGGCTGCTAGGAACAGAAACTTAGAAGAGTTTCCCTCTAAAAGAGATAGGCTTCATAAACAATTTAGATTCCTAATATCTCAGCTTAGTTACAAGGTAAGTATATATGATGGAAAAATGCAATTTCTTTTTCATAGTAAAATGTAACTTCTAAATTGGGCATACTGTATCAGGGCGCATGAACAAACTATTCCATGCTCGTGTATCTCCACTAGCTTCAGTTGCCTTCTTCTGTTCCTCCCTACGTTGCTTAAAAGTTTTTGCTTCTTGGTTGACATCAAACCTGGAGAGTAGGTGAGCCCAAATATAGATGTTCCTTATTAGTCATCAAATATTTGCATGAAGAAAGCTACAAACGAAGCACAAACAAGTAACAATAACATAAATGATAAATGTAGCTCAACACCTAACAACACTAACCCTTTCGTCTCAGAAGGAATTCGTTGTTTTGATGGCATAATATGCAACAGTCTTCCTTGGAATATAGAATTGTCTAGTTCTTCTAGTGCCCTGAAATAATAAACACAAATAATTACATTTTAGATGTAAGGTCATTGAGAAACATAACTTACACATAGGTAGGTGACAGACATAAAATGATCAAAATCACTGGAAAACAGGAAAGGGGTTTCTAAGATTAACAATTGTGAAATCAAAATTTTTTTATGAGTATGTTGTGAAATCAAAATTATAAACTTGAAATGCGAGCCAACATTTGCATCTAGCTCAAGCAATGACACAAATGATTGCGAAGAAAAAAAAAAAGCCAGGATGTCCTTACAATAATTGAAAAAAAAAGACAAATCAGGAGATATAAATATATCTTTCTTTATACGACAAATTCTGTATGTCATAGTCCCAAAAGTGAAATTAGGCTTTATCAAATATCATTGTGAAAATACCATAAATTTTGAATTTGAAAATGAAAATTATTACCTATTTGCGGACTCAGAAAGTGAATAAAGAACATAAGCAATTCCTTTGGACCGCTTGGTATCTTTATCAACTACTATATGGACCTGTGAGACATCACCAAATTTACTGAATAGCTCCACCAACTCCTCCTCACTGAATTTCATTAAAACACAAAAGGCCAATTAGAATAAATAATCTGAAATAATTCTAAATTCTAATAAATTTTTATGTTCATATTGATTTCATATAACAGATAAACATTTTCCCAGGATATAACTTCTAGAGAGAGGAAAATCAAGATAAGCATACGTTGCACTATATGGAAGATTACGAACAAATAGACGACCAGTCTTCAGAACTTCTTCTTTCTCATCTTTTAATTCTGATGACAGTTCTCCAGCAACCATTTCACCATCAGATTGTTCAGAAGGTGCCTCTTTTTCAACCTTCTCCTCTAGGGTTGCACCCTTATGGGCATCAAGGAGCTCCCCATCTACTTTCTCATCAATGCTGTTATCGCGATCATCATCATCTTCTTCACTTTCTGAGTCTGGCCAGTCTTTCTTAACTCTACTCTTGAAGTAATCCGTATCTGAGACAACCTCATCACGAGCTAGATCATGTGAGTGCTTTGTTGCATGATAGTCAGAGGGCTCATTTTCTGTTTCATCATTTTCATTAAATTCAGCCTCCACCAAAGCTGTTTGTTTTCTGCCTCCCTTGCCTGACATATTCTGCTTTCCATCAACCTTTCCATTCTGGTCAAGAAATGGAGCTCCCAACTCATCATTAGCCCACAACTTTGATTTAGACCGTGGCTGCATAACCTGAAGAAACTCTTGAAGCTTTAAGTCATTTTTTTCACTGCCCTTTTTAGAATTCTCTGTGTTGCCTTTAGAATCCAAAATTTTTGAACTTTTGGAACCAGTACTCTTTTTGTTCTCCTTAGTCAATTCTTCTTGTTTCTTTACTGAATATCGACTCCACGGACGAGGCATATTTGGATCCCCAACTTTACGAGCTACCTGATGTAAGGATATTTGTTGATTTGAATTAAATTTCATGTTGCTAAAGGTCCAGTCCTTGCTTCCTTAACTTATACTTGCACTCTTGTTATCTTAATTCCTACTGAATCTAAAGAATAAAGTCAAGGAAATGAACAAGTTCTTAAGACAAAATTACAAACCTCACATGTAATTCTACAAGTATCTAGGTAAGAGTTATTGAAGTAATTAAGAGCTGTTTCTGCCTCTTGCTCAGTCCGAAACCCAATGAAAGCAAATTGTCTGCTCTTACCATCTCTGAATTGACCCAAAAAACAGACAAAATTAATACTAGAACTATAGCCAGCCATCAAGTATCAAACAAGAATGAATAAGTGAACGATTGAAAATAAAAAAAGAAGCAAAAAGGGAAAGAGAATTCGATCAAATTACTTGGTCTTCATCACTTTTGCATCGGTTACTTCCCCTTTCTGAGAGAAGAACTCTCTGAGGCGATCCTCCGCAACATATTTAGGAATATTCTTAACACAAATCCGAGACCTGAGAACATAATAGGAAAATAAATCAAAAAGAACACCCAAGGCATCGAAAAAAGAAGAGTAGAAAAGCGTGATTCTGGAAGAGAATATGCTCACATTGTTTCTTAGTTCACAATCAGACTTTAAGATAGAGCAGTGGTAGTTAGCTGTTTCTCGAAACAGAGAAAAGAAGGGAGTTTGTTAGGGGGTGAGCAGTAATCTCCTAGATGTACCATTCCTACTATATATCAAAATCATATTTCACGAAAAACTCTGCGTCTCACATGGTCTATGATGCTCTGAATAATGGTTGTGGAGGTGGACTGGTATTGAGACGTTCGTCGACTTAGAGATGAAGCAGCAAAGCAGCGGCCAGCGGTGAAGTTGGAATGGTGGCGGCAATCGACCGACTTTGAGATTCTGGAGGCTACGTTCTCCTTAAGGTTAATTCACCCCAAAAAAGAGGTTTTTCGAACTGTTTTTCTGTTCGAGAAATCTCTTAAACTACCCAAATTCACTTAGGACTCAACTTTTCTGACAATTACTACGGGCCCGTTTGGTTTATAGGAATAGTGATCTGGAATCAAAATCGGAATGACTTATTTGACTTATTCTAGTTCCAATTGTTTGTTCGGGAGGAATCGAAATTCCATGAAATGGCATTCTCCCATTTGAAGAAACTCATTCCAACTGGTTTCAATTCCCATCTGAACCAAACAGGCTATAAGAATATATCATTCTAATTCTAATTCCAGAAACAAACCAAACAGATCCTTAAGTTTTCTGTTTGGGTAAATTGCTGAAACCTCCTCTAAAGTATATTGTTGCTACTGAAAGTCTGAAACCTCCCCTAAGATTTATAAATTGCAATAACCTTCCCAGAAGTTTTCCCTAAACTTTACTGTTGCTAGTGAAACCAAACAGACCCTTAATGTCCAAATTACCTATCTAGTTACTTTGGCCAAAATGTTTATTTTCCAAGTTTTCTCTACCTATGAATGTAACCTGAATCCTTTCAATCTCTTTTTCTAAAATTGATTTATTTTCCAGATTTTCCCTGCATACCAAATGCTCAAAAGTAAAACTACAACTTTAAATTCTGCGTTTTTTTTCAGTTTTCATAAAGTTTGTATTATTTTTTGGACAAATTTCTTAAATTACCCCCATTGTTTAGCTAATTGACAATTATACCCTTATTATTTGACTATTGTCTTAAAATACCCTTACTATTTTTAACAATTGTCGTCACTGTTAAATTATAACAGAAATGATGAAATGTCCCTTTTGCCCTTACTCCCCAAGTAGTCCAATAGCAACCCCACTAATCCTCTTCTCACCGCACAATCTCTGATGAAATTCAAGATCGGAATGTTGGCAATTCCTCCATTTTTTATTCTGAAATAAAGAACAAAAGAAAAGAATGAAAACTCTAACACTTGCAACAGCGCCATAATCGGAGAATAATTTTTGTCTTTTGGCTACTGTTCTTCACCGGCAACTACAACCAACACCCTTCCCTTTCTTAAGCAACACCTCCTGCACCCTTCTCTTTCTTCCTCTAGATCTTCTTCATGTAGATTCGAATTTCTCTACCCTCCAAGATGTATCCATCAGCTCAACCACACTGACCAGGTCAAGATGCAATTGCAGCCAACAGACGACCACTATTGAACCATTCCTCAATATGTGCGTCAAGCTTGTGAGTTGTGACCTTGTTGTTGCTTCTCAAGTTTCCTCAGAACATGGTTGCTTTTCTTTGCCTCCTAAGTGGTAGCTTCACCTTCCTTGCCTTCTTTCTTGGCGGAAGTAGAGATCTTCTTCTTACGCCCAAATATCAAGGCCATAGTGTTGAAGGTAACATTGCTTGAAAAGAGCCGGCAATTATTCATGTCATTAGATTTTTTTATTTCAAGCAACAAATAACTAGAAAACAAAACATAAGGTTTATCTTTTGGAAAGAGGTTTGGCCAAGAGAATCGGAATAAAGGAGGAGACCAACCTAGCCTATAAAAAAAAAAGTAAACATTAGAGAAGGGGGAGAAAACAGGAACAATTTGTGTGACGATAAGATGGAAGAAGAAAAGAATAACTTTCGGCTATTTCAGTGCCTTGATGGCTTTTTTCAATGCATTGATTGCCATTTTCAAATTCTTCAAATGACAATGGTTCCAATCAGTGCGTCTGAGTTGTATAGTTGCAAATAGAGGTCGCCATTGGAACTCTTCATCTTCTAACTCTTGACACCTAACCAGCGGTAATAGGAGAATACCCAGTTGACGCACATCACAACTTGCCATGAACTTAACTCTTGCGATGAGCTTTAACTGTGATGAGGTTTACTCTCAGAAGAAGTTTGTTATTAATCGGTAATCGATTACGGATCTGTTTTGGTTGTTTTTGGTAAATGTCACGTCAGACTCTTTTGGCTTCTTGTAATAAATGTCTATATATACTTGATAATTTTAATGAAGGAATTACTACTTTTTCTTCGTTAATTCCATGTTACCGAGTTTTACATGGTATCAGAGCCCCAGGCCATCTCGGAAAATTCTGATTCTTGCAGAAAAATTCGATTCTTGACTCCAGTCTTCCTCTGCTTCTTGTTTTGCCCTTCTTGATTCCAATCTTCTTCTTCTTGTTTTGCCCTTTTTCGCCATCAACAATGATAGTCACGAATAGAAGTGGAAACACTATGTTCACTGTTGATGATCAGATCTCCTCTTTCAGTGATCAGAATTCACCTTTCTACTTCCATCCTTCTGACAGCCCTGGCATAGTGCTTGTTTCTTGTCTTCTTAATGAAGACAACTATATGATTTGGCGAAGAGCAATGATTAATGCTCTCAGCACCAAGAACAAGATTGGCTTCGTGAATGGAATGATTCAAAAGTCAGATCCGGCGAATCAGGCAGAGTTCCTCGCCTGGTCGAAATGTAATTCCATGGTGGTGTCATGGATTTTCAATGTTTTAGCCAAAGATCTCCATGAAAACGTAGTCCATGTTGAACATGCTCAAGATTATGGAAAGATTTGGAAGAAAGGTTCTTACAAGGAAATGCACCAAGGATCTTTCATCTCAAGAGACAACTCATGTTGCTCAGGCAAGAAAATCTCCTTGTCTTTGTTTACTTCTCAAAACTCAAGGCGTTTTGGGATGAATTGTCAAGCAACATTGCTAGACCATTATGTACCTACGGGTTGTGTACTTGTGGAATCTAGAAAAATTTTGTTACAGAACAGGAAAGAGAAGGTGTATCAATTTTTGCTGAGTCTGATTGAAAATTTTAACAACATCAGATCGAGCATTTTGAGAATGGACCCTCTACCGAGCATTGTTAGAGTCAATGCACTTATATCACAAGAAGAAAGACATCAGTCTTTAATTGCCCAACACGGTCCAACTACGGAGGCTATTGCTTTTCATGTGGCAGGTTCAAAATTCAACCCAAAAAGAGGAAAAAGATCTGTTGTGATCACTGCAAGAAACAAGGTCACAACAAGGACCGCTATTTTGAATTGTTCGGGTATCCACCGAATAAGGGAACTCGATCAAAGTCTACATCCAAGAATAACACTAGCAATCAAGAAAAGGTTGTTGCTAGCATGAACTTAGTCCAAGGAGTCTCTCCTCTAGCCTATCTAAGGAACAATATCAATAGTTATTAAGCACCATCAGCAGTCTGTCTGATCTTCTGAACAAAGATAAACATACTTTCTCAACTAACTTTGCAGGTAAAATCACTACCACTTCTTGGCTTTTGGATAGTGGGGCCTCAAATCACATGGTCCCCGCTAATTCTGAATTTGCTATTACATCTATTACATTGGCATCAACACTGAAACTGGTTTAGTTTCCAAATGGAACACTATTACCGGTTCAGTCACAAAGTGACATAGCATTGTCTTCAGATCTGGTATTGAAGGACGTGTTATTCATTTCGAGATTTCAATGCAATCTTACATATGTTGGTAAACTTACCAAAGACCTGAATTGTGTTGTGTTGTTCTTTCCCACTTTTTTTGCCTTTAAAGACCTGACATCCAAGAAGCTAATTGGTGTGGGCTTGATGCATGACGAGCTGTATCGCTTCACTTCCTTTCCACCATCCTTCTCATTGCATAGTACCCACCCACATGATCCACGCATACGGCGTTCAAGGTTGGGACATGCTTCTTATGAGAAACTCGCTTTGATTCTAGAATTGCACATTAC